TCTTGGGGGCGCAGAGCCCTTGCTAGTTTTGTTGGGGTTCCTGTTCTTTCGCTTGGCGGACTCGGTATTTACGTGGAGTATCGTAAGAGTATAAGGCCTTCTATTTCGGTCTCGTATCCGGTGTTTGATGAACATGGCTCAATGTTTATTGATGGAAAACTTGTCGAGAGACCAGGGCTGCTTCCGATTGCAGGTCGTATGGTGGAACTATTTTTGCTTTTTTTCCCGCTGGCACTTCTTTATGTTGTGATGCGAATTCGAAAAGAGTGGTACCTTCGGTGGTTGGAACTGCTTTTGCGTGCAGTAAAACGCGCCGGTCCAGCCTTTGTGAAGGCCGGTCAGTGGAGCTGCACTCGACACGACATTTTTTCTCCCGAGTTTCGTTCTGTATTTAGACGACTGTACAACGAGGTGGACGTGCATCCATACAGTGTGTCACTGCAGGTACTCCGTGAGGAATTTCAAAAGGAACCATTGGAATTATTTTCTCACATTGAGACGACACCAGTGGGCTCGGGCTCGATAGGGCAGGTGCACCTCGCCACGTTGCGTGAGACCGGGGAGAAAGTTGTTGTTAAAGTGATGCACCCCAATATTGTGGAAACTATTTTGAAAGATTTCTGCATCGCTATGCAAGTGGCACGCATCTTAGATAAATGCTTTCCGTCTCTTGAGATGTATAAACTGCCGGCATTGGCGCATGCGTGGAGAAATCATCTCTCCGCGCAGTTGGACTTTCGTTTAGAGGCTAAGCATTTATCCATCTTTCGTGAAAACTTTAGACATGAACCGTTTGTGGACTTTCCAAGGCCGCTTTTTTCCACTCGGCGAGTGCTGGTAGAGACCTTCTGCAAAGGTGAATTGGCTTCGCCTGAGTTTCTTAGTGCACAGGAAGAGCACGTGCGAGATATTTTGGCCCATAAGGGCCTGAACACATGGTGCAAGATGCTTTTGCATGATAACTTTGTGCATGGGGACATGCACCCTGGCAATATCCTTGTTGACATTTCTGACCCCCATGATCCGCGGGTGTCGCTTATTGACGTTGGACTGTGCCAACACATTACTCCAGAAGAGGCCGTCGTCACACACGACCTGATGGAGTCCTTTGTTCGGTGGAAGGCAGATTTTTGTTGTTCCTCTTTGCTACGGATGAGTAAGACGCAGAAGTTTGTGAACAGGAAGAAGTTTGAGAAGGAGGTGGAATGGCTCTTTGAACACTGGCGTCCAAAGAAGTCCTCGGATTTTGCGGTAAGCAATATCTTGCAGTCCATATTTGAGTGTATTCGCGAGAACCGCGTTCAAATGGACCCCCCATTTGTCTCACTTCTTTTCTCTGTTCTCGTGCTGGAGTCGTTTATTATGAACCTCAACCCGGAGTTCAACATGGTGCGGCACGCCGCTCCGTGGTTAGTGGGCGAGGGCCATATATCGTACGGCCTGGCAAAGAACATTTTGCTGACGCGACTCGATGTCTTGAAACAAGACCTCGGCGTCCTGCGCAGCCGTGTGAGAGGCGGCGTGCTCGGTAACTTGGCGCAGAAAGAAAGCAGTCGCATGATGACAAGCAAATGATAGGCGCTTTGCTGGGGGTGGGGGTGTATGTGCGATATTTTGTGAACGATCCTCTGCCGTGGTAACGGTGTGAGAAGATGTGCATAGAGGTGAAGGAAAAGGGGCTGAAGGGGGACAAACACGCATGCAAACAGACACAAATGTCACACCTTGTCGGTGGAGTGGGGACGCGCTACGCAAGAAAAAAAAAGGTTGCAACGAAGAAATGTTCCTTTTTTTTTCTTTTTTTTTTTTTTTCAAAAATAATAATAATAATAATAATAACGGATTTGAGAAGACGAGAGGAAAAGAATGAAAAAAAGAAGGTGTCATGTATGACAGGAGCTTTTTTTTTTTTTCTCTCGGGCTTTTCTTCTGAATGTGGCTGCCCGCGCCCGAAGATTTAAGTGTAAATGTATTTGACAAAACCCCCCCACAAGGATAACAAGAAAGAAGTGTCAGTGCTGTCTCCATGCCTTTGTGGTATTTCTTCTTATTTGTCATATATATATGCATATATTACCCTTGTTCTTGTTCTTGTTTTTTTTTTTTTTTTACTGAATGGGGGTGAACTATGATGTATGATGGTTTCTCTTTTAGGTATTTTGGGTGTCTTATGCGCCAATGAACGAAGTAACTGACTTGCATGCACATGCAGATCCCTTTTTTCTCCTGCAGGGGGAGAAAGAGAGGAAGTCGGTTACTGCATGTGGCGCACATGTTTTGGATGGCGAAAACAGGGTGTGCGCAGATGATGGCAGGAACACTGAGGATTATGGGAATTCGTCGCAAAGTTCAACGGATGCACCCGTAGAGGACTGTTGGCGTCGCAACAAGGTGCTACTTGAAGGGATTCTTAGCGATATTTTTTTTTCGACACTGCCAAGCGGGGCGAGTACGTCAGGACGGTGCAATGTCTCTCTGGAAGCTTTGCAGGCGCGCGGGGCCCTCCGAAAGTGGGGCAGCTATGTTGTGGATCCTGTGCACATGAAGTTGAGTGCTGTGGATGCATTACTGAGTCGTGCGGCCCAGGGGGGATCGGGGACAGAATCCAGCGAATCAAAAAAGCATTTCTTGCCTCAAAGTTTGCCACAGAAATTAAATGTTCCGCTTACTCTCCGATGTGCCTTTTGTCAAAGGTTTGATTCTTTATGCAGCAATTGTCACCGCAATTGGAAGGAGATTCTTCGAAAGCGGCAACGTGTTGTAGCTCTTCAGAGTTACTGCAGACTACCAGAGGATAGGCGGTGTGGATTGCTTTTTATGACGGCTGCATATGGGGTGGGGGAATTTGCAGCGATGCAGCTAGAATTTGATGGGGAAAAGTGCTTTAAATGGCGTTCGGTCTTTTTCCCTTTAAAGAATGGTACGACGGAGCGACAACACAGTCTTGTGAAGGTGGGCGAAGTACATGCTTTGCATGTGGCATTTGCTTATGATCGTGTTGACGTGGCTGAATTCTTGCTTGCTCATCCCCGTTGTTTGATGCTGAAGTCCGAACACCGCGTTGATATACTTAATTTTCTTCCCAAACCTCTTACTCCCCAGTGGGAAGCTGTGCTAAATAATTCGGATGTGTACGTGAATCACCTTCTTGTTGAACAAGCCAAACGGCTGCGTCGTGCGGAAGACTGGGAAGGGGCGGAGGCTCTCTACGCTGAACTGCTTCAACGAAAGCCAGACAGTGAGCATGCACATAGCGGTTGGGCAAAGATGCGCTATGACCAAGGATATGTGGTGGAATGCATTCATTTGTGCGATTCTATGATTTCTGGTGAAACCTTGGTGGATTGGAATGAATTTAGTTTGGAGAGCATTAAGTCATTACGTGGGGCGTCGTTAGAAAGGTATCACGAGTACTGCCACCAAGTTGAGACTGAAGGAGTACTTAAGGCGTGTGGTTGCGTCATTCTTGATAAAGTGCGTGTTCCTATTAGAAAGCTACCCTTTTCCATTATAGTCGATAGCATATTTCTTTTTTGTGACGGTGTGTCTTTGTGGAATATTTTCAAATCCACGAGAATGCCACTGCTGCGTGCAGTGTGCGAAAAACTTACTGCCCTTCTGCCTAAATGGTGTCTCCAGATACTTTTGATGCGTGAGCCTGGATTTAAAGGAATGTCTGATAAACTCCTCTGCAAGCTGCCTTCTAGTGTGGGAAAATTAGCCGTTTCACCTGTGCGTCCACTAGGGCTTTCTGTTGTGGCTATGGCAGACTTTAACATGTTTCTTGTCCGTGCACATGCCGCGTGTTTCTCAGCAAAGACGGTTAAAAATGGGTTTTCTGCCCTGTCGCTTTTTGGCTTTGGGCGCAAGGAGTCCAAGGATGGTCGTCAGGCACCTAACGAAGCAACGGAGATCGTTATCAGTAAACAATATCGTATTTACCGCCCGAGTGTAGAGGAGCCGTGGTGTATAAAGGAAACTGGGGAGTGGGAGGTTGATGAACTGTCAGTGGAGGTGTTCGAGTCACATTTACTGCAAGTAAAGAACCTCTGTGATGATAAGTAGTTGTGTCAATGAATTTTTTATGGCTGGATATTCTTTGGTTTGATTTTGTTTTGCTTGTTTCACCTTTCTTCTATCGTTGTTTTTGTCGTTCACCCTTTGAAACTGCGGGAATTGACATTGTTATTTCTTTTTGTTCTCTATTGCGTTCTAAAGACATATATATATATATATATATGTCAGTTGGAGCGATTAAGTTTTCTTCCAATGTTTTTTTTTTTTGCGTGTCGCATTTTTTTTTTTTTTTGCCTTGACAACAACACACTTCTCTGCCGGTGGGTAGGTGGTGGCGCAGGCAATGGCTGAGCGCCTTTCCAGGCCTCATGCGTCTGCATCGCCGAGGCCGGCCTCTTCCTCAATGGGAGGTGAATTGACAGACCGCTACGGCTTCTTTATTGACGCAGAGAGGAAGGCGGAGGAGAGCGAGTACATTCGGCAGCACCCGGAGATGCCGGCCACGCAGAAGATGTGGGCACGCGTGTTGGTGAGGTGGGACCACACCCCATACAAAAAAAAGAAAAAACTCGCTCGAGAAGGCATCCCACAGTCAATGCGACGCATTGTGTGGCCGTTGCTTTTGAACAGCCACGAATCTTCCAGTCTTAGCCATGAAAAATATCACGTGTTAAAGTTGCGTCCACCGGCTGATCCAGAGGTGTTTGCCGTTATTGAACGTGACCTAGGACGCACATTTCCGGCGCACCACTGGTTTGCGAGGGCTGATGGTGTGGGGCAGACCAAACTTCGGGGCATTCTTCGTGCCTATGCCAACATTCATCCGGAGGTGGGTTATGTGCAGGGGATGGCCTTTTTAGCATCCACTCTCTTGTTGCATATTGAGGATGAGGAGGATGCATTCTGGGCGTTTTTTTCGCTTATGCGCCACCCAAAGCATTCTATTTGGAAGATGTTCACCCCTGGGTTCCCTGCTCTTTATATGCGTTTTTATCAATTGAAGAAACTTATGCAGCGCAATTGCATGTCATTGTTTCGTCTTTTAGAGGCATTTCACGTGGAACCAGAGGTTTACGCGACACATTGGTTTTTAACCCTCTTCTCATACTGCCTGGACTTTGACCTACTCTCACGTATATGGGATATGTTTCTTTGCGAAGGATGGAAAATTATTTTTCGTGTGGCGATTGCTCTATTTTTGCTTTGTGAGAAAACGTTGAAGGAGGCGAAGGATGAATGCAATCTTCTTTTGGCTTTGCGACGCATACATATGGAGGACACCGACTTGATTCTTCGCAGATCACTTAAGGTGAAGTTCAAGACGGCTGATTTACTTCGCTGGGAAGCAAAATTTGAGGCTCGCAAGTGACGTATTTCCTTCTGTGTTGTGTTATTGTTGTGTTTTGTTTTGAGCACTTTTTTCAGTTGTATTGTGGCATTGAAAACTCTTTGGTGGTGGTGTCGAATGGGGACGAACAGGGAAGAGGAGAAATGCAATGCATCCATCCATGCATCTGCTTGGGTGCGGGAGATTTTCATTTTTGTTTATTATTCTTATTATGTTTGTTTATTTTTCGCCCCCCTGTCCTTCTTTTCTTTTTTTTTTTTTTTTTGTGGTGAAATTTGGTCTTTTTCATGTCAGCATGGGAATAGAGAGGGACGTTGCTTTGCGTCCCTCGTCCTTTTTCCCGCAGTGTTGTGTTTGCGTGAGGAGGATAAAAAGACGCGAGGGCGGGGGGCGAGATGCACATTCATCAGACCATTCCTGTTACGATTGTGGATCCTGTGACGTCTGCACCGTCACCCGCCCTGAAACATATTGAGGACCGCACGTTGTACGCGTACCGCAACATGGGGTTTGCGCTAACGCACTTTCACCCCGCATTGGTTGGCGCGGACTGCCACCCCGTTGTTATTGAAAACATGAACCAACTACGCATTTATCACCGGAGGGAGTATACGTATCATTTATTGCTGCGTCGAACGTATAATGTGAAGACTTTTCAGACGGCACTTGGCATCATGGCCGACCCAAATGAACCCTTTACCAATGTGGATGAGTTAATTGACGGTAGGCAGCTTGTCTATCACCATACCGGGGCGGATCAGGATATTATCAAGGGCTTCTGTCGCCAATTAGAGTCCCCCTTTGCTCCTGCGACACATCTTCGACTGGATGCCGTGGCCGTGAGTCCCCATGCATCGGCACTGATTACATCCTGTGACACGTTGACCGACGCGTTTCTGTTGAACTTTGTCCGGACAGCCCACTACACATATTATCTCTATCAACGCACTACGAACCCGCGTTATTTAGAAGCTTGGGGAAGTGTTTATGGGTCACCCAAGCTTCCCCTGAAAAGGCCACTGCTCCTCTACATTGGTGTTGGTCCACAGGAGTTTACTGAAGGCCAGATGGAGGAGAGTATGCGACGTTCACTACAGTCTCTCGTGGCAATTGCAACGAAACGTATAGAGGCACCGCCAACTGAACCTTCAGCAGAGTTGATGCCCGCCTCTGTAAGACGGTTGGCAGAAAAATATGGCGTTCGTTTGTTGCAACGGTGGCAAATGCGTTACTTTATGGTGCGGCGTTGAGAAATATAATGATGATGGTGAAGGAGAAGAGGTGCGAGATGTCAGGTGTTGAGTGTTTTTTCGCGTGTGTGCGTGTGTTTGGCTTCGCTGTTTTTTTTTTTTTTTTTTTTTTTTAGCCCTTTGTTTAATATCAATGTCTCTTTTCTCATGTTTTTTTTTTTGCGTGTGTTTATGGGTCTGAGCAATTGCATCACTCGGAGCTTTTTGGCCGGTCATGCAGGAGGGTAGCGTCTTTGGGCCCGATGAGCGTGCGGAGTCTGGGGATATTGACGCGGAAGAAACCGCCGGGCCGTTTCGCATGGAGGGCAATAACACAAGTTTGGGACGAGAAAAACACGATTTGCCTGCAAAAAAAGCTTGCGGCGTGCCGCCGAATGCACTCCTAGTCAATAATGATGCCGATGCACCGTGTGAGGAGCCGTCAGTGAGGCGTCAGTGCATGGATGAGGTTGACGATGAGGAAAATGAGTTTGTGGACGAGTTTGGTTTTGTGGTGGATAAAGAAGAGAAGGACAGGGAACTTCTTTATGTGAAGAATATGGACGGGAGAAAAGTGGTCCGTCGCGAAATTAAGTGGGCAAACATGGCTTCCGACTGGAGTAATGTGAACTCCAAGCGACACGCCAAGCTGAAAGAGCGGTGCCGCAAGGGAATACCGGCACGCTTCCGTGGCGTGGCATGGCAATTGCTGCTTGGGTCACAAAAGCAAATGTCAGATGCCGCCAATCGAGGCACATATGAGTCTCTGTATAAAAAGGAACTTGCGGATCCGGAGCTGACGAATACGATTGGTCGGGATTTGGCACGAACCTTCCCGACACATATTCTCTTTCGAGATGAAGGAGGCGTTGGGCAGACGTTTTTGCGGAATGTGCTCCATGCCTATGCAGCCGTGGATCCGGAGGTGGGATATGTACAGGGCATGGGTTTTGTTGTTGGTGTGCTCTCCACGCAGATGGGTGAAGAAGAGACATTTTGGGCATTGTATACGCTCATGTATGATAGACGATATAAGCTTCGCGATATGTACCGTCCTGGGTTTCCGATGCTGCAACAACTATTTTATCAGTTAAAACGTCTTATGGCTCGCTTTGTTCCCAAGGTGTATCAACACTTTGAGACGATGGGGGTCGACCCCTCCTTTTACGCCTCTCAGTGGTTTATGACATTGTTTGTTTACCACTTTCAGTTTCGTGCCCTGCTGAGGGTTTGGGACATTTTCATGAGTGAGGGATGGAAGGTAATTTTTCGTGTTGCAATCGCGTTGCTAAAATGGGAGGAAAAACGTCTTTTGGAAATGCATTTTGACGAGATTCTCATCGCGTTGAAAAGCTTGCACGAAGGGAAAGACCCAGACGCGATATTGCGCCATGCACATGAAGTTAAGTTTAAAACCTCCGAGTTGCAAGCGTACGGTGATGAATATTGGCGCGAACAGAGAGCGGCGTAATTACGACACGCCATGCATGCTGTTTTTTTTTTTTTCTTTTGTAGCTTGTCCAATACGTTTTTCACCTATGGGGAGCATCTGAGGTTGATATATATATATATATTTTGCTTTTTTGGATGGAACGCACTGCACCTGCACCCTTTAAAAATCTCATGAATTTATTTCCTTTTTTTTTTTTTTTCCATGTCATTTATGAGGGGGTTTTCTTCACTTTGTCTTTTGGAGAGGTTGGTTACTTTCACAATTGACAGTGTGTTTGGTGCTCCAATGGCGCTCCCGGTTTCTGCCGACTACGAGGAGACGCTCGAAGGCGTTCAGGAGAAATTGTGGTATGCCTTGCCGTCCATTGCCAAGATGCGGGCCGATATGGCGGCAGCGGCCGAAAAAAACGCGGATGATGCGGCCCGTGACGCCCCGCAAGAGGCGTTGGTGGAAAAGGATCCCGCCACTTCCGCCGTAAGAAAGGCCTCTGTCCCGTTTGCGGATATGCGGCAGCTAGTTGAGTCCCTCTTTATGGCTTGCCACACGAACCCTATCGCGGATGATGTTGAGAAGGGCGTCAAGGCACTTTTGGGCGACGCGGAGGGGGGAATGTACAAATGGGACGATTTCCTTCAAGTCTTGAGAGACGTGGAGTCTTTGTGGTTGGAGTGGCATGACCCCGAGGAAAAGTGGCTGGCCGTGGGTGAGAAGCACCACGCAAGTGTCTTGAAGGAGTTGTTCGACTGCATCACGCAAGACGTGGAACCTTTCGGGTTGCTCCCGCGCCAAGAAGTTTTGACGGCGCAGTCGGTGGTGGCGCATTCCAAAACAATTATCACGCCGTTCGAGGAATTTGTGGAGTTTGTGAAGCCCCGTGAATTTCCGGAGATTTATGACACGTTGTGGGGGTTGCTTGTTCCAGGGGTAGAGGAATCAGGGAGCAGTGGCATACTTCCGGTTGAGCAATTCACGGTTTTTTTTAAATGGTTCTACCTGCAGGTCTTTACCAACGCCACTGAAGACTCTGCCGTTGTCGCGGCCCGCACAATGTGGATTGAACACTTAAACGCACAAGGCGTGATGAGTAAGAAACAGTTTGTGAGGGCTTGTCGCCGCATGTGCAGCATTTATAATCCCGAAGCCGATGGCACACAATGCCTAGAGACTTTTTTTCGCTCAAGCGCTGCAGCAATAGGGGAATCTGAAAAGACTCTTGGGATGATGGCAGTGTTTGAACATCGGTGGCCGCCCTCTGCATCAGGCCGCATGCTTATTGATCCGAAGGATTTATACGCCCCAGAGGAGTTGGACGAAATCAAACAAGAACAAGGATTGTACGACGCGGATGTTGCTGCCAATCGTATCGTTGTCTATGGCAGACGAGGTGTGGGGAAAACAGCTGTGGGTAAAGCTTTGGCAAAACGACTGAATTGTGTACATGTCAGTCTCGAGGATCTTGCTTTGGAGGCGATTGCAAGGGCAGGTGAGGGTGATGCATTGGGTGCCGAACTCCTCGACTGTGTGGATCGTGAGGCCAAAATTCCACTTTCACAGCTGAAATTGTTGGTGCATCGGAAGCTTTCGACAGACGAGGTATTGTACCGCGGTTATGTATTTAGTGACTTCCCTGTTCTTGACGATGCGGAAGATGCGGATGTATTGGAATTTTTAAATGGATGCGGTATTCTGAACGTAATTGTGCCGAATATCCTTCTGCACTTGAGCTGTGATGACAACTTTTACCCGGAGCGCCTCGATACCACGTTGGAGGAACGGCGTTTATTACATGAATCGGAGCAGCAGCTTCGTAAAGCTGCTGAGGAAGAATTAAAAGAGAGGGAAAACTTTCACAAGGCGTTGATTGATAGAGTGGAGCAGCTGCAAGCCAATATCAAACGATACGAAGAACTGTCTGCTGCGGATGCCAACGTGGAGGACCCGGCAGAATTGGAGGCAGCGAAGACTGCCGCCAAGGAAGCCGAAAATGAACTGCCAGAGGCAATAGAAGCACAAAAGAAGGATGCAGAACGGTCTCCTGAAATGTCACCCGAAAGTGCCGAACGTGAGAAGCAGATAAGAAATTTGGCATTAATGAGAATTCTAGAGCGGTCTCTTGTGGGAGACGAAAAACGAGGCAAAGAGATGTACGTAACGGACCTTCCATGTTTTCAAGGGATTGTGGAGCGTCTTCATTCGGTGGGCCGCTGCTTAACGGTGGGCTGCACGTCCTTGATTGAGGACACGGTTGCGTATGTTGTGGAGACGCTAATGCTTCAGCCATGTGTGTTGCCACAGGACCTCACCGCCGAAAGCCGACTGCCGCCAATAACACCAAAACCGGAGCAACAACAAGGGGAGGAGGATTCAATTTTAATCCTTGAAAGGGAAAATGAGATGAAACGGGCGGTAGAAAAGGCCGCTGCAGAACTGGGGGTCACTTTTTCCACGCGTTGGAAGCGCTTCTGTCCGGTCACTTTTGCAGAGTGTGGGGTTTTGGTGGAAGGAGCAGCGAACTACGGTTGTGTGTTCCGACGGCGGCTCTACCATTTAGCATCTGAGGTGAAGCTTGCCAAATTTAAGGCGAACCCACTGCCGTATCTTTCTCCGACACCGCTCGACAGGGAGCCAATCCTTGTTTTTCCCATTGCACAGGGGCGAGATGCCGCTCAGTCTTTTCCAACTTCAACGGTAACGGAACTCGTCCGACTTTTGCACGAGCGCCTGGAGCTCACACCGATAGAGTTTAACGAGTTTGTCGCCCTATGGGATAAACATCGAAATCTGAAGGAATTGCGTGAACAGGCACTCGCTGCACGGGCGAAGTTTGAACTAGCGGAAAGAAAACTACGCGCAGAACGGTTGAAAAAACGCAAGGCCGCCTTAAAAAAGAAGGAGAAAAAAATAAAACAAACTTTGAAAAACAAAAAGGGACGCAGGAGTACAGCGGCTGCGGCCCCACCGGTGGAAGAGGAGTTTAAGGGCTGGGAGAAGAGAACCGAGGGGCCCGAAACGGCTACGGTGCGTATTGAAAAGAAGATTACTGAGCATATGCATCGTCAAAAGACATTTGTTCCGATTTTGGTACATGCCTTTGAAAGCATGTCGATGGACGCTGTGGACCGGCTACTTGGCGAGGGAGTGTTTCCTGAAAAGGTTGTTGTATTGCAGTACGAGCGGCCGTCGGAAGAGCACTCCAATGCTGCATCTCCGTCTGCGGAGGAGGATGGTGGGACGAGTGAGACAGGTAAGGAGGAAGTACCAATGCCGCAGCAGATTCTTCTTGAAAAGCTAGAAAATCGCATGCGAGCCGGGTCCGGCGATAAAGATGACTCAACTCCCACTCAAATCTTTACAATTCATCGCTTGAATGCAAACAAAAAGGACGCGCAGACTTTGACCGCCGAGATTCTTCAAATTGTGTGCCCCGGCATGGCACCAGTCGAGGACGGTGTTGTGGACGTGGAACTTGGGGAGGTGGAGGATGAAGGAACGGAGGCGGGGTTGGATGAAGACGAAGAGAGCGAAGAGGGCCTTGGACCTGAGGTGACGGATCCGGCTGTGCGACCGGGTAAAAGGTTTCTGAATCAATTTGGTACCAGGTTACAGTACTGTCCTGTGACACTGTACGAAAAGGGGTTACTTTTATGCGGCAAAAACGAGTTATGTTCACAGTATCAAGGTAAATTGTATGTTTTTTCCTCAGAAGAGGCAAAGGAAAAATTTGAGCGCAACCCGTTACTTTACATTGGGAGGCCAACTCCAACAATACCGCCCCGTTTGTGGATAGTGGGATATACAAAAAGCGGCAGAAAGACACTGGGAAGGAAACTTCATGAGCAATACCATGTGCCTTTTTTTTCATACGACCGACGTTTCTTTGAACGCTGCGTTGAGGCTGCACGTAAACCCGGTGGGGATGTCGTTGATGGGATTGCCATAACTGAGCAAGGTAGTGAGAATTCATACCTTGCTCTTGCCGAGTCTATTTTGAAAGAATTGCGGGAATTTGACGCTGAACAGGAACGATGCATGAAACTGCGTGAAGAAGCAGAGGCAGTAATGGAGCGCCGCGAGAAGCATGAGGAAGAGGATGAAGAGAATGAAGAGGATTTGGACGAAGAGGCTGAAGCCCGTTTGCAAGAATACCTTGAATTTGAACCAGAAGCCAATGAGGACCGCGAGGTACGACTGAGCGAGGCCTACCTGAAGATTGCCAGTTGCGTGACGCACATTGAGCCGTTCGAGTCTGAGGGCTACATTATGGTGTGTCCGCCATTTTCCGAGGGGGACATCGAACTTCTGTTCTCCACCGGATGTATTCCAGAGTCGACGGTGAAGTTGGAGCTTTCAGAGGAGCTCTTCTTCGCATATAAAAAGGAGGCTCGTCGGGCTTCTATCGCCGTGTCTGAGGAACCTCGTGTTGTCGTCGGTTCACAAATGGAGGTCTTAAAAAAACTGTCAGAGAAGGAGCAGCGGAAGAAAGAACGTGAGTTGCGCAAGTGGCGCCGTCGCCACATTGGCAAGGATGATCCTGAGTCTGAACTCGAGGAAGAGGATGATGAGGACTTGCCATCTGGAGAATTGAGGAGGAACGGGAATTCGGATGCTGGTGCCAATGAGGATGACGAAACGCAGTCCCTTTCATCGCTCCGAAATATGGAACAAGATGCTCTTGCCGAGTTTGAGGAGTCCATCGCAGATCGCTCCGTGAATGCGGTGGTGCTGAATGGCGACCTTTCGCCAAATGCCGTCTTTCGCGCTGCCACCCGACAGCTCTCTCGTTTTCTGGAGCACCGCCGTTCTCTGTTATATGCTGCAGAAGTTGTTCGATTTGATGTCGCCACGGAAATGCTGAAGTCTGGCGAGGCACTCCTTTCCTATTTTGGGTACACCGACCCGGTCGCTCTGTACGACGAACGACATGGGGTGAGACGTATTTGTAAGTGGATGCCAAATGGCACAGGCTTGGAACCTGAGCCATCCACGGAAAGTGCAGAGAAGCCATCAGCTGCAGTGGACACAAAAGCAAATGACGGAAACACAGCGTCGAACGATGATGCGGAGAGGGATGGAAATCACTCCGAGGAAGTATTGGAGGCATCACACATGGAAGTCTTATCAGAAGAGGATTTGGACGACGAGGAAATGAGTGAGCATGACGATGAGGAAATGGAAGAGATACTCGATGCTCATAAACGAAGAAAACGATTGGATTGGCTGCGTCGATGTCAGCGAGTGGCTCTTTTTTGTGGCCGTTTGTACTTCTTTGAAAATGAAGCGTCTCTTATTCGATATCTGCGTGATCCATTGCTGTTTGTGGAACAGCCCCCGCCATTGCCACGACCCCTGAGTAAACCTGTTGTTTCTGTTTACGATGGGAAAGTTCTGTTATCTCATCAGGAAGGCTTAAAGCAGCGATGTACAGCCAATCATATTGCCTTTAACCTTCATTGCCCATTGGTTTCGCTTTCAAAACTTTTTTCTTGGGCCGCGATTCACGCTCCTTTGCTTTCTCTTTCGCGGCGCGCCATTGATGCTGTGCTTACTGGTTCTTTCGATGATGCGTTGGTTGCGGAGCTACTGGCGCATCGTCTTAATGCAGGGGACGCCAAGAAGAGTGGTGCGGTGTTGCTTA